GCACCAGGAAGGTGCTCAGGCCTCATGTGTTGACCTACGGGGTTGGCACCATGATGCCACAGCTGAAGCCCAGTCCCGAGCCAGATGGAGCTGTGGGATCGAGGGCACCCATTTCTTTCTGTGTCAAGTGGGGACCCTAATAACACCCACCTCACACTGGTTGTGAGGAGTGAATGAGTTAATGCACGTATAGGGCTTAGAACAGCGCCTGGTATGTCTTTTCGCAATTAGCGCTGAGGGTCCAGAGGATATTGACACTTTTTTTTTTTTTACTTTTTATTTTGAAAAAAAAAAAAAAAAAATCAACCCTACAGAAGAGTTGTAAGAATAGTGCAAAGAACTCCCTTGTAAAAGCCTTATTGCTAACATCTTACCACTTTTGCCTTTTCTCTCTCTGTATGTACCTATATGATATTTTGCTCACTCTTGTTATTACTGAAAAGTAAGTTGCAGACATTGTAACCTTCCTTGCTAAGCACCTCAGTGTATGTTTCCTAGGAACCAGAGTAAAGTGGTCAATTTTAGGAAATCTCCCATGTATACCAAGCTAGTTTGCAACGTAGACACCATTATGAAATTTTACCGCTTGTTCCAATACCATCTTTCCAGCAGGACACCTCTCCCCCATCCAGGATCCGGTCCAGTCTCTAGTGTCCTTTAATCCGGAACAGCCTTTCTGCCTTCCTTTATTTTCTCTTTGACCCTTTTGAAGAGTTATCAAGCCACTTGTTTTGTAGAATGTCCCTGGATTAGGGTGGGCTAATTTTTCCTCATGGTCCGATTCGGAGCATGCATTTTTGGCCAGAATACCACGGCACATCCCTCAGGAGGCTCCTGATGGCAGTGTGTCCTGTTAGGAGTGATGTTAACTCTGAGCACCTGGGCCCTTTGTCATTAATAAGTAATCTACAGGAAGATACTTTGAGACTGTGTGTGGACATCCTGTTCCCCAACATATTTTCACCTGGTGGTTTGAGCATTTATTGGGCACTGACACTTGACCAAAATCCTCATGAAGTTCACTTGCAGGTCAACGTCTCGATTTGGCATTTAGATAGACACCAAAGTTTACTTTTGCTTGCCAATAAAAAAACTTAGCATTGGAAAGCATACTGATTTTTATCAGAGAAGTTTTAATCCATTTGGCTCAAAAATGCCCTTCCTGGGGCTTAAGCCTAAAAGGCTAGATTCATTTGTCCACTTGTTCAGTCTTCGTTGAGTGCCTCCTGCAGGCCAAGTGCTATTCCTGGTGCTGGGGATAAAATGATTAAAACAATTTTTAAAGGTAGGCAAAAACCCCTGTCCTCCTGGAAGCTGCATTCTAATGGGAGAATCAGACAATAAATCTGTACTGTACTGTCAGGTGGTAAGGAGTGAGGAAAAAGCAAGCCATCGGTGAGATAGACAGGGATGAGGTAAGGGGCGCTCCTTCAGCAGGGCTGGTGGAGAACTCCAACCTTGACTTAGGTGAGAGCAGCTGGTCAGAGGCCTAGAGATGGGATGTGACTTAGCGGAACTGTGAAGAGGTCTGTGTGGCCGGGGCGGAGACATCGAGGGGGTGATGGTGGTGAATGAGGATGGAGAAAGGGCTAGAGCAGGGTGGCTGAGGGCTGTGTAGACAGTGCTGGGAACCCAGGGGAACGGTCCAGGTTTGAAGGGGGGGCAGCCCCCGCCCCTGTCAACAGCACGTGAAGCCAGCCCACTCCTGCCCGGGGCTGCTGGTGGTGGCCTGACAGAGGCCTGGCCCCCAAGAGTGACTAGCTCTGAGGGGGTCCAGGGTCCAGCAGTGGGGCTTCTGCATCCACATCCAAGCAGGAGTTTCTCAGAAAAGGAAGAAAGATGGCAGGAAGTAAGGAGCTGGAAAATGCCTTTTTCTGTTTTCCCTGTCGCAGAAGGGGAAGGCGGGAGGAAGGGGAAGGCGGGAGGGGGCTGGCCTGGAGAGGCGCCCGCTTCCCAGCACCCTGGGTGGCTGGGGCGGTCTCTGACAAGCCTTGGCAGACAGGGGCGCGCTCCTGGGCCCAGCGGCTTTCTGATCTGAAACAGCCAGGGAGCCCCAGGCTGTGAGGCCGGGGCTCGGTGGTCATTGCCAGCAGGGCGGGCTGTTCTCCAACGTGAGTGTGGCCTTTGTCTCCATCCGGCCCTCCCATACGGAGGGAGCTCCTCCACTCACGGCTTTTCTCCCCGCCGCCCAGCCCAGGCTACCAAAGTAACAGCAAACACAGCAACAGTGAGAGCTAGCCTGGGAGAGAACTTCTCTGTGCAGGGGGCATGGGGGTGGGGGTGGGCACCTGCTGAATGCTTCCCACCTACTGCTCACTGAGTTCTCATAACCACCCTATACAGTAGGTCACCCGCGCCCGGTTACACAGCTAAGTGCAGAGCCAGTATTTGAACCCAGGCCGACTGGTGCTAGAATCTCCGTTCTTCTCTGCAAAGCTACTCTTGGATAAGGGATTTTCCTGGAGCACACTGCAAGGGTCAAGGCAATGCCATTGGGTCTATCTCTGGAAGTTTCTTATCTCTTGGGACCTGGTGTACTTGACCTCTGGCCTTTCGCCCAGGGCCATTAGAGGGTTTTGGGAGTGAGGAAGTACTTTTGCTGCCACCTCGAGGGTTGTGAGGAGGCCTTTGTGCCTCCATTTCAGGGTCAGATCCAGAGATTCCCAGGAAGTGGAGGGGATGTGGTGCCCCCCACTGGTCCACATGACATGTTTCGTTTAATGTTGACAGCAACTCTAAGGGCAGATTTTGTGGCCAGTCTTTAACAGATGAGGAAACTGGAGCCCCGAGAGGTTAAATAACACACCCAAGGTCGGGCTGTCTGTAAGCGGTGGGGGGGGG